TTGGGTACAATGACGTCACATGCGTACCCATTTTTAGCAGATCCGTACCCATTTTTAGCAGATTTGTTAACCCGCGCGGGGCTGGGGTCTCCAGCCGAACGCGCGGGGCTGGGGGGGTAAATTTTACCCCCCCCCCTGTTATCTCCCGAACTAATGGTCCGATTTGGAAAATTCAAACGCCAATCGAAAGCTCTCATCACGAACTACTAAAAACATGTACTTAATTTAACCCTCTAATGCCCACACATAGTTCCACGGTTCCTAAAATTAGCACCTCGTGACCTATGATTCATTTTGGGTCCCTTGTTCGAAATCTGAAGTCAAAAATTTTTTCGCAGTTCAAATTTCGGAAAAAATTTGTGTATCAAATATGATACATTGGGCATTCCACTTGGTTATTTTTAGTGGTATCAGACCACACAGAAGGAAGTGAAGACATAGATGAGAAGATATATGTTTTGAAAAATTTCAGAGATAAAAGCGGCAGTTAAAATGTGTAAAATGCAAACAAGAAATCCTTTACTGTGCGCCACTTATCAGAACATTTTCTTAATATTTCATTGGCATCCTACTTGTATCAAAATTCCCTTTCAGTCGGTACTTATGGAACAACGCTAATCATAGGCATCTTTTTACGAGTGCCTTCTATTCCTTTAATTTCCACGATACAGCGCGTTGCACTTGTGCATTTTTTCATAATTCAGACATGTGGGCCATGCTTCTCAAACGTGCATTATACATACTTGATACAAAAATGAAGACATTACGGTTGGTCGGTAGATGGTCGAAGTGAAGCAGTTCTGATGCAAAATGCTGGACAGCCTGCCGACGGACCGGAATCGATGCCAAAGACGAATGTTGGTTTATCTTCACGATAGCCGGACAATCCCTGGTGACTGAAACTCTCAGCCTGTGACTCGTCAGTTAGCAGTTTGACTGGTCGTGCGGTCCTCATGTCATCGGCGTCAGTACAACAGCCGCGCACTGACCAGCGACCAGTGCAGTAACCGTTGTACGTGTCAGACAACAAAGGTACAGGTAACTGTGTACCGATCGGCAGGAACTTGCACAATGTTCATTGACCTCATATGGAGGTGAGCGTACGCAATGCCGCACTTTAACTTGTATTCTTATGGTCAGTGTCCATGTTTTAGTATAAATCCTATTTGTTCAGTGGCAATCAGCTACCATACTTGGCGGCATATGTCAATATATGACAACAAATGACATACCTGGCAGTAAAAATGTTTGCCAGGTGTCAGGCACCTGCTGGATCCTGGCAGCAGTGCATGGTTGCCTACTTCTTGGATACGTAAATCAAAGGAACCACGTCCTTCGGTCTTGACGTCTGTCTTCATGGCGAGTCCGTTTAGCTAGCTTTCTCTGACGATGACGGTGTAGTTTTCCACTCCACATTCAATCTCTTAATACTGGGATGAACGGAGGGGATTTGAATCGCAAACAAATTGTGAGTCGTTCTCCAGTATGAATGAAAAGAGCTGGCTGGCTGCTAATGCAAGTCTTCGGCCATGCCCAGCTAAGACATAGACCCACAAGACATAAGCCCGTCCACAAACCCTGTTGGAATATCGAAATTGTGCAAGAGACCGCTGAATCCTCCTTTCCCAAACATACATAGTCAAGTCTCAATTTTTGGTTTCACAAGCATAAATGCTTGCACGGATGATCGTCCCTTGAAATCAACAAGCTTGTCATCGATGGCATGTCATTCCTAACGTGGTTTTAGAAGATATGGTCTGCTAGTGTCCTGCAGATCAAAAAGTTCACTGTTATCATCGTCAAACAGTTGGAAAACCAGATTCCTATGAGCGTTAGAAAAGTCGAGATGTATGAGGCATGTAAGGCCACTCATGGGCAGCTAGATGTTAGGTGATTGACAAGGATGAGAGGCGGCATAGGCGTACGAATATCGTCATGAAATATCGAGTCTGGAGCGAAATAGAGTTATCTGACGCCAGAGGTGCGAACTTCGCAAATTTATGCATCTTGTACCATCGTCATTTTCAATGACTCACAGGCCATTGCAATGCTTATCACCTGAGAAAACTTATGGTATTGGCACACCGTATGTTGCAGCGGCGAAAATTTCATAGAAAATATTGGAGTGCTATGCCCACTGTATCATATCTAGTATCCCCCAAATTAGGGGTCCATATCTTTGACCCTGAAATAGCTGCGATGTATTGCAACATACTGTGATATAGAGGATTCTTCATGGCTCCGAGTGGAAGATATAGAGGATTCTTCATGGCTCCGAGTGGAAGATAAGGATATCTTTTCCAAGCGGGTTACTGAAAAACCGAGCGACGAAGGAGCGAGGTTTGTCTGTAACACGCGAGGAAAAGATATCCGATCTTCCACGAGTGAGCCATGAGGAATCCTATATCTTTCTATGTTGAGGTTTATTCTTAATTAATAAAATATTATATTTAAATGCATTCACCTAAGTAAAAATTGATTCAGAGTAGTTTGTTCTTATTTCATAAGTTTCATCCATAAACAACCATTAAAAATGTCGTTCGGTTATTGACCCATCATCACATGAACTCTTGATTTTTCGCGATGAACCCTCGAGACCTTATCTTTGCATCTCAGAGGGATGCAGATATAACAAATTCTTATCTTTGCATCTCAGAGGAGTGCAAGATAGAAATATCCCTGCACTGTAGACCCAATGGCAAATAAACCTCAACTAGAAAGATAAATGCTGGACATTTGTCTCACAGTATACCAAGTTTCTTTCCAAATAACTATTTTTTTGTTTTTCAAATGCTAAAATTTACACTTGCATCTCAAATAGCTTTTCAGCAAAGGACAAACTGACCCTCTTCAAAATCATCTGGTGGGAAACTGAGAAATCATTACTTAAAAATTTTGCCACCAGGTGGTTGCCAAGACGTACCACTTCTGATACAGCAGGGTTTTCAACAATTTTCGCCTTCAGGATTAGCACGCGAATTTTCTGCAAATTGACTTACAGATATGATACCGGGGGCACTAGAGGGTTAAAGTTTGAGGTCAAGGTCAAGGTCAGGTCAAGGGTACAAATTGCAAGTTTCTACAGTATCGGCCTTGCACCGTAGTTGCCGAAGAATGGAGTCATGGACTGAGACTGATCGCCCAAAACGTGTTCTTAGGCTACCAAGACATAGAGGATTCTTCATGGCTCCGAGTGGAAGATAAGGATATCTTTTCCAAGCGGGTTACTGAAAAACCGAGCGACGAAGGAGCGAGGTTTTTCTGTAACACGCGAGGAAAAGATATCCGATCTTCCACGAGTGAGCCATGAGGAATCCTATATCTTTCTTTGTTGAGGTTTATTCTTAATTATTTAAATATTATATTTAAATGTATTCATCTATGTAAAAATAGATTCAGAGTAGCTTGTTCTTATTTCATAAGTTTCATCCATAAACAACCATCAAAAATGTCCTTCGGTTATTGACCCATCATCACTTGAGCTCTTGATTTTTAGCTTTGAACCCGCGAGACCTTATCTTTGCATCTCAGAGGGATGCAGAGATAACAAATTCTTATCCTTGCATCTTAGAGGAGTGCGAGATAGAAATATCCCTGCACTGTAGACCCAATGGCAAATAAACCTCAACTAGAAAGATAATATTCGTTGCATACAACATCATTCAGAGGTCAAGGTCAAGGTCAGGTCAGGTCAGGTCAGGTCACCAAAAAACAAAATATAGAAAAGGGCATGTGCGACACATGTTTTATGGGTCATTTTATTCATAGAATTCAATAGGCACACTCAATAAGTGATATGGACCACCTCTGGATGAATTTCAGGTCGAGGTCAGGTCAAGGTCAGGTCAAGTGAGGTCAAATTTTGAAGTTGGTTGTTAAGGCCTAAAAAGGTGTCTGTCTGATGCAGTTTTTCACGGCGAATCGAATGGTGCTATTTTTGTTTCCGTACGAGGTCTAGAACTTCCAAAAAAGTCATTTTTCAAAAAATTTGTGTGTTCTGACGTCATAAAATTTTGAATAACTCCCACATTTTTGAACCGATTCTTCTAAAATTTGGTATGTAGGTGCACATAGACCACTTCTCTGACATATATTCCGGTTTTTTCGATAGGCTCAAAATTTTGGATTTTATAATGATTTTCCCAAAAAAGTCAGTTTTTTGAAAAAATTTAGGCCAAAATCCAAAATTTTCAAAAAACCGGGATAGCCATTTGATAGACAAAGTAAAATTACGTATAACCTTTTTTGTTACGTCTTGATTCCTTTAAAAATGAAGATGTTAGCGGCGTTTGAACTTTTGCCGTTTTTTAGGCGAAAATGGCGAACATGACGTCACTAAAACGTCAATTTCTCAAAAATTTTCCGACGGATTTCGCTCAAATTTTCAGGGAACGTGTCAAATTGATGTAAGAAAAGGTACTGAAAGTTTGGCGGCGCTGCGCGCCGTCGTTTTTGAGATATCGCAAAAATTCGCGAGGGGGGGTAAAATTTACCCCCCAGCCCCGCGCGGGTTAAAAATAGCAGACTGCTAAAAATGGCAATTTTACCACAGTTTCCCCGACTGAAGAGGCTCCATCTCACTACTCTACAAGAAAGAAGAGTCAGAGGTGACATGATAGAAGTCTTCAAAATTGTCAAGGGCTTTGATGTGGTGAATGCTGGCGAGAAGTTTCTTCAAATGGACGCTGGACCACGCAGCGACAGGACTCACAGTCACTCACTTTAACTCGCCAAGCCAAGACACAGAACCCTCAAGAGAACCATGTTCTTCTCATCACGAGTTGTTGACCACTGGAATAGCTTGCCTCAAGAAGTGGTAGAAAGTCCCAGCATCAGTCAAAAACAGATACGACCAATACATGAATAGACAGCGAGAGAGGCAGCATCCCATGAGCCCAGCTCCCTTGCGTCTACATATGTCCTTAACCTATATATGTTCTTGAAGTGAACAGTGAACACATTTAAATGCATAGAAAATGTAAAAAAAAAACGAAACCCACCTCCTACCGCACGTGTGGACCTAAGCACCACCTCCAAAGAACCTCCACCTCTATATAGGGCCTTGCCAAAGAACGGACCCACTCGACACGCGCTCGACGCAATACCCAGCTGATCAAACCGGAAACCTCTTGATCATTGTTTGTTTGATATCGATCAAACAAATGAAAAACCCAAGGCCCTAAAAAAACCTACCTGATTTTTACACCGACGTCATAAATGTCACTGAAATTTGATGAATCATGATTTTTCTTTCAACTTCGTTTGAAAGCTGTCAAATACGCGTGTTGATTGCTAAAAGACTAGAAAAATTACGCAAATTGTGTTAATTTTATACAAGTTACGTCATTTGAGAAGTGATATCTAATTCAAATATTCAAATCTTGAAACCTAATTACGTCAAAATCGATACGTATGAACTCAAAAAATGGTCAAATAGAAATGTTTATATTCAAAATACACTTAATCATCTTTAAATTTCTGTTTCTATTCTCAAAAACACAAAAATTTGTAGAAAAAATGTCTAAAGAAATATTGCGTCATTTTATCAAGATTTTAGGTAATTCAACCACATTCCGTTATGCGCCGACATTTGTCTACGCGCCCAGTGGACGCCATTCCTTTCACTCGGTTGCTGCGTTGATGTGGGTGGTTTGTTCCAAGGGTTTTATTAATTTGCAACAATGGACTTAAGCCTAGACGATATTATCAAGAAGGAGAAAATTTCCAAAAGAGGAACAGGACGGGGTCGTGGTGGTGGTAGGGGGGGCAACAGAGGACAAGGACAGCAAAGGCAAAGGGGAGGCGGCCAAGAGCGTGGCAACCGGAATGCAGTCTCCAGCCGTCCTGCAACAGCTTATAAAAGGGTGAGTACCTATTTCTGACACTTTTCAACTACTAGCGTCTTTCTGGTCTCAGAATACATCATGTGGTGCTGATCATCTCCAGTTGCTGCTACCGAAGCAATTGGCGGAACCAGAGCTCTTGTCTGCCGGTTAGCACGCAAGTCGCAAATCCATTCCCACAAGCGAGCTTGTTGCCCGGCAATGGTTATTAACCAATGAAGCAAGTAATGTGTGATGTCACCAGGGGCGTCGCCACGGATTTTTGACTGGGGGGACGGATTGGCTGACTAAAAACCCAAAAGTTAGTTTACCGTACAATTTCAGGCCTATGCACTACTTGTAACGCATCACAATACACATGTTCTCATGTTCTCGCGTGGAGGCGTTATTAGTCACACTCTTTGCTACCTGTGCATGAATTGGCGGCAAATACCTGTGCGAAAATTGGCAAAAACTCTTGGCAAAACAGTCCCAAAACGCATAAATTTTGCATCCCGCGTAATAAGTTTGATACCAGGACAGTTAGGCAGTTAGTTCCTCGGTCCAGCAGCCCTGCCTCTAAAAAATCGTGTGGTTCTCTGTAAACCGCTGTCAACCATAGGTACAGCTTTTTCCAACTTCTGTGAAGTGTAGCTGCAGGACTGCGGGGTCGGAGTCGACTTCGACGGTTTTGGTCGGATACGGAGTTGGAGTCACCGAAATCGTAACAGACTTCAACTCTGAAGTCAGAGTCAACGTCATCCCCGAGGATGGGTCGAATAAGAGCTGGAGATTCTGTTGGCTGTGGTGATTGTAGTAGGGGTCATGGTAAAACCAATGTAGGGACATACTGAGCATTACGTCCTCCTGGGCTCTCTCAGACCAGGACGAGGTCCTCTCACCCTCAAGCATCAAGCGTTCAAAGGCCATGGTGAGACCTTTTGCTGTCGGATGGCCTCGAACGGGAAGAGAGCCGTTTGAGAGTGAGCTGAAGGTCTTGACTATTACGAATATCCTATGTAAAATGTGTGGTCTCTGCAAGCTGTTGTCCTTCTGCACTCTGAGACTTTGGGACAGATCTTCAGCCCTTGTTGGATATGGTCGCCCCTACAACTGTAGCTTTGGCTCCCTATCGAGGACCTGGGACGGACAGTCCAGATCTGCACCTCGTAAGCAATGTTATCTTTTAATGTGCCAAGAAACGTTCAAAGAGACAAAAGCATCACATCGCATGTTTTTTCACTCCGGTGCGGGCCGAGGGGTGCCGTGGTCGGCGATGGAGTGGGGACTCCGAGCGTTTTTTTTTTAAGCCGGAGTCGGAGTTACCAAAATCATCTACTCCGCAGCCCTGTAAGCAAGGGTACAGTGTCAGCAATTCGCAGATTCAATTTGTATACCTTACCTTACCTTACCTTAGGAGTACACGGAATTTAGAGGCCTGTGTAGACCTGTTGGTCCGGATCTTTACTTTAAGTACTAGCTCGTGGAAGGTTACTGGTCGTCGAAGGCAGAGGAGAAGCGGATAGCTTCCCAGTGGATGTCCAGTCGGGATTTAAAGGTGTTGACAGAGGGTGCAGCAACGACGTGTAGAGGTAGGCTGTTCCAACTGTTGACCACTCTGACGCTGAGGAAGTTCCGTCTTGCTCTAGAGACGGCTTGGGGCTTGTGGAGCTTGAAGCCGTGACTCCGCGTGATCCCAGTCTCGGACAGGCGAAGAAGTTCATCGTCAACGTCCATCGCGTCGTGGAGGATCTGATAGATGACGATCATGTCGCCCCGTCGTCGGCGGTACGTCAGCGACGGTAAACCAAGCAGACGCAGTCTCGTAGAGTAAGGCTTCGTACGCAGCTCTGGCACCAGTTTCGTTGCTCTGCGCTGTACCCTCTCAACCAGCTTTTGGTCGCCTATCGAGTAGGGGCCCCAGATGCAGTTGCTAAACTCCAAGTGAGGCCGAATCAGGGACTTGAAAAGCAGGGGCAGAGACTTCGCGTCGAGGTTCACGAACGATTTCTTAACCAGGCCCAGAACCCTGTTTGCCCTAGCAACAGCTGCTGCGGTCTGCTGGTGAAAGTCGAGCGACCCGTCGACAACTATTCCCAGGTCCTTCTCACTCTCCGTGGCCTCCAATGGTCTCCCCAGCATTGTGTATGTCGCGTTCTGGTTTCCCGGGCCAAGGTGTAGTACGTGACACTTATCCAAGTTGAACGGAAGCTGCCACAGCTGCGACCAGTTTCCAAGTTCATTTAAATCGGTTTGGAGCACGTCTCTAGCCTCTGGGGAGTGCACAGGGCGAAACACTTTGCAATCATCAGCAAACAGCTTGATGGAGGACGAGATGTGGCCAGGCAAGTCGTTGATGTAGAGCAGAAACAGAAGAGGTCCCAAGACAGAGCCCTGTGGCACTCCACTGGTTACAGTTGATCTTGTGGACTTGACCCCTTCGACTACGACCTGCTGGGTTCTGTCAGCAAGGAAGGCTCTTACCCAGTCCAGAGTCTTGCCAACTATGCCGTAAGTCTCCAGCTTCAACAGGAGTCTACCATGAGGCACAGAGTCGAACGCCTTCTTGAAGTCTAGATACACAGCGTCCAGTGGCTGCTTGGCCTCAATTGTCTGGGTCCAGATGTCCATAGCTTCCAGCATCTGGGTACTACAAGATCGGCGAGGGCGAAAACCATGCTGATGGGGACTAAGCAAGTTGCTCATAGTGAGATGGCTCATTATCTTGTCTCTCATGATAGCTTCCATGACTTTACATACGATGGATGTGAGACTAATTGGTCGGTAGTTGCTCGCCGATTGCCTTGGTCCCTTCTTGTAAATCGGTACGACAAGAGCGTGGCGCCATTCAACTGGTATGCAAGAGGTCTGGATACAAGCATTGAAGATGACTGCAAGTGGGCAGGCCAGCTGTGGAGCTAGCTCCTTGAGCACGCGGGGATGCAGCCCATCAGGGCCAGGGGCTCCTGAAACATTAACCTTTAGGAGTTTCAGGTAAACCTCTTCTGGTGTTATAGTCACTTCAGACAGGGTGCCCCCAGGAAGGGAATGGTGCTCAGGTTCTGGCAGAGAGGTCTGGTCCTCAGTGGTGAAGACGCTGCAGAAATACCGGTTGAGCAGATCTGCCTTATCGTTGGGTGAGCTCCTTGGTTGACCTAGCTCGTCTTCAATAACGTCAATCCCTGGTTTGGTTTTGAGACGGGAATTTACATACCTCCAAAAAGATTTTGGGTTGTACATGACCTCATTAACGATCTGTGTTTCGAAATCTCTTCTCAAGTTCCTAGTCATTTTTCTCAGTTTGTTGCGACATGTGTTGAATCTTGAGAGATCTTCATTGTCTAGAGTCCTGGAGTATGTGGCCCATAGGGTCCTCTTCTTCTTGCGTAGCTGTAAGGCTTCTCTGTTCATGTACAAGTTTTTTGTTTTGCCTGTTCGAGTCTTGGGCACATGTCGCTCAACTAGCATTGATACAGTTCTCTCAAGGAACTCATAGGCACATTGTGGATGCATGTTCCGGATTTGGGCCCAATTTACTTCAGCTGCTTTACTCCTCAACAGGTTATAGTCAGCTCGATTCAGGGCAGGTTTCTTTGTGAATTGGGCAGCTTTTGGAACTGTATAGCAGTGAACAGTGAACCTGAGGACTAGATGGTCGCTTTTGCTGAGTCCGGGAAGGTATTCTATGGTGGATACCATTCCTTCTTCGGTTGTGAGAACCAGGTCTAGAAGACTAGGGACTGTTCCAATTCTGTATCGTGTTGGTTTTGTAACATGTTGAATCAAAAACAGATCTGCCAGCTTCTTAAGAAAGAGATGAGTTGGGTGATTTTCTCGGGCAGGACTAGACATAGTCTCCCAGTTCAGGTGAGGGTAGTTAAAGTCACCAGTGACAAGCATGTGTGATGAGCTGTTGCGATTTTCTTCCAGCATTTTGCATATCAAGTCTGTACTTGTTTCCAGGCAGCTACTGGGACTTCTGTACAGGCAACCCAGCCTTAAAGTGTCTCTGCCTTTGAGCTTCAGGGCTAGCCAGACAGACTCAACCCCCTCCAGAGCTGAGGAGCCAGCAGGCTGACATCTGACTTGGTCCTTAACATAGACACAAATACCTCGCAGTCCCTGTTTCCCAAGATTGGCGGCATCAGGGTCAAAGTTTGTGTACACCTTATAACCTTTGAAACTGACAATAGCTGTCGACAGGGCTAGGACTTGGGCTTTTGGCAACACCTCTGTAATCATCATTACATCTGGTTCAGAGCCAGCTATTTCAGCTAGTAGACAATCTCTCTTATTGATAAACTGGTCTGCATTAGTGTACAAAACAGTAAGCCCAACGCCCTTCCCACATGCATTGGTTAGTCATTTTTGTTTTGATTGCTTGGATTGCACCTGCTGGGGGGCACTTGTATCCAGATTCAATCGGGCAGGTGGCTGAACTTCACGGAAACTGCTGGGTCCACCTGACCGGCCAGTTCCATTCTTCAGTTTGATGATGTTGCCATTTCTGATGCCAATATCTTGTTCACCTGCAGCACGTCGCTGTGCAAGCTCTTGTCGCAGCAGTCTGTGGGCCTCTCGCTCAGCAGGTGTCTGATCTGGGTTAATGTACAAATTATTCCAGCTTTCCGAATGCCGCAACTGAGACGACAGTCTAAGCAGTTCAATCTTGGAGTCCAGATCCTCGAGTGTTAGAATGAGCAGTCTTGGGCGGTTTTCCTGTAATTTGCCAACTCTATAGCACTTTGAAGCCTTGACGACCAGCTTCAGATTTTCTTTGACAATGTCTTTAAATTTACTGAGGTCTTTTTCCTCTCTTGTTACACCATCCTCAGGTGTGCTCTCGGGCAAGTTGAACACTACCACATTCAACTTCCTACGCTCTTTGTCTAGAACCGTGCTGACAGTCTTGTGGATGTCCCTGGAGGACTGGGACTGGTTTTCTGATAGCTGGGCAGCTCCACTAATTCCATTGAGCTTCTCTGCAACAGAATCTGTCAGAGCCGAGCAGGAGCTTTTGACTATTTCCGCATAGGAGGCCTTTTCCTCGTGTTGCTGTCTAACAGTCCTTTCAAGCATTTTAGTCTGATCAACTGCATGCTCTTCCAGCTGCCGCAGTGTTCGGTTCACCAGTTTGCAGTGGTCCGAGATGGAGTTGGTCAGGAGCTCAATTTTTTCATCCACCTTGTTAAGAACGCCACTCTCCAGGGAGTCAAGAGCATCCTTTGTTTTCTGCCACTCAGATCTGGCATCAGCACCAGTGTTGAAGATAGAAAAGTGGCATGCTGAACAGAACCAGTGGAGCATGGGAAATTTTCCTGCGGCAGTTACGGCAGTTTTGGGGATCGCCTGACAGGCCCCGTGATACCAAAAGTGGCATTTGTCGCATCTAATTCCATTTTCCCCTTCCTTGACCGGCTCACCACAGTGAGATTTACCAGGGCCTCCCCGACACTTGTCTTTATCTTGGTCTTGATCTGGCTCGGATTCCCCCCCATCTACACTTGGTGTACGGGATCTCCCACCCCAGATATCGAAAACATGATCTGCGAGTTTTCTCACCCCAGCATTAGCATCCATACCTTCTGTACAGGGTGTCCGGATAGTTCTGGCGCTTTTCAACATTTTCTAAAACAAATGCCATTGGTTCATAGATACTAATCAATGGATCAAAACAATGACCAGGGACACCAAGCCACATGCTTCCGCTACGTGCTCATTCAATGTAGCCACCGTCGGCGCCGACGACGGCCTCGACGTAGGGGAGGAAGCGTCTGCGGGTTTTGACGATGCGGGGCATTTCCAGGTCCTCCCATGCTGTCATGATGCGAGTCTTCAGCGACTCCAGGCTGGGGTGAGAAATGGCCTAGATCCTGTTCTACAAAACGCGTAGCACGCCTTAGTCGAGCGGGTCAGGTTAGGAGAATAAGGCGGCCTAATCTCATTTCGCCACGGTGATCTGGCCCGGCAAGCTCCTCTGTCAGTTTAGCTTGAATGGCGGCGGCGTTGTTGGAGGGTGCTCTGTGCTGTTGAAATGCGAAGTGACCCTTAGGGCATGTCGTCTTGACCCTCGGGTTGATGTGGCTGTCCAGGAACCCCTCGTGGGCCAGCCTGTTATTCATTTATTCGACATTGACGAAGATGATGGGACATTTTTGTCCATCAGACCCCCGCACTTTCTTCGATTGCCGCGTTGAAATGCTGCTCCGTTCCCATATCGCGTTCGAAACGGTCTGAGGATATTTTTTAAGGAATTCCCGAGTCGAAATAAACCTTTACCTGCTAAACCATTCATCGAAAAACGCCGCATCGCGCTGCAACTCGCGCCTCGTTCAAGTCGCACCCGGCCGCCGCGCGCAGGCATTCAGCGACAAGGCGCATCTTCGCCCATCTACCCATCACTGAAAACGATTTCAAGGTCATATTTACACGACCCCTGGCTGAGCAATCAACGAGGGGTCATGTCTGTGATGATTGGCTGAATGTCCAATAATCACAGCGCGCGTTACACGGCGTCCAAAAGAAGCGCCAGGACTTTCCGGACACCCTGTAGTCCCTGGCGCTGCACTTGCAGACTTCTTATCGCCACAAGAATCGCCTGCTCTCGATTTTAATCCGTCTTGACCGTTCTTGCCCACTTCATCCCTAACGATTCCACCGATTTCACTTTCGCCATTTTGATTTGCATTTTGATTTTCGCCAACGGGTACGGCGAGCGCGGCGTTTGCGTTAAAGTCCGGTTCACGCGGTTCACGTGCGTCGTTCGTCGAAGATGGTGTAGATGGCGTGACGGTCGTCGTAACGGGCGTAACGGAAGCCGTAACGCGTTCTGCTGATAGCTGCTTTTGTTTCGTTCGGCGTTGTGGCGGTGGGGAGTGGTGTAAGTTAGGCATGTTAGCAAGGAATTACGGATGTGCGATAGGTCACGGAGCTCGACAAAGCACGTCCGTCCAAGCCGAGAGCGCGAGAGCGAATGGTATCCGAGTAGGTATCCGCAATTTCATCCCAAAACGACAATACACCAATGTCGTAGGTCGCTTTTTAAATCATTCATGGGGATATTTTGCGGGGGACGTCCCCCCCCCCGGATTCCTCGACTGGGGGGGACGCGTCCCCCCCGTCCCCCCCGGTTTCGACGCCCATGGATGTCACATGCAATTTTCATGTACCTACCCATGCCCCTGGATGTGATGTAGTATGTCCTACTGTGCCTGTGTGCTGTGTGGATGTTGGGGTGTATGATTGAAAGATGAAGAAGCACTAGGAGTGTGCCACTCACCACCGCATTTGACAAAAGCAGTGCTAAGCATGATCGTTCCGGCTTTTGTTGAAAGTTGTATGTATATTTATGGGTTTCAGGGTGGTTAATATTATTGGCATTAAACAAGCTATCTTAATTTTTGTTCTTAGGAATTTTATTCGCAACTCTTCAGTCCATTGCAATCTCACTTACTGTGGGAATGGGTTCTTTTTCTAGAATGAGTGACAGGTATTTAGTAACGCAAGTGGTGATGAAGTTGAAATAAATAGATAAAAGTAATAAAGCCAAAAGAGACCCCCAATGATCATTTGAGATCTGCAAATCTCTCAATATCCATGATACAGTTTGCTCAATATATGACCCCACCATCTTGGTCCTGAGGGCCTCCGTTAGTTTTTGGCTTGTATGTGAGCCAATGCCATCGCTTGTGATGTCTACTTGCGGATTGTGTCATCATCTCACAAAATAGTAGGCAGCCAGACAGCGCCCAGGAGGGGAGTCCCAGAGGCTTTTGGGGTAATGCTTCAAAAAAGTTTCTTCAGTTCTGAAGTCTTAAGAGTTTGATTCCTTTTGCAATGCCATGCAGTTAAAGCCAAACTGTTCCAGCTAAAAGTTCTTGAGTTTTCTTTCTTTTTTAGAAAAAAAAAACATCTTTTGGGTGCAGCAGGCTGGCATTTGCTGCAAATGTATAGTAATAGAATTTTATTTTTTAGACCTCCAGATTTCAGTTTCTGCAAGGTGGAGCAACATAATCAATATTATGGGACAATATAATCAATATTCTAATAAGCATGAAGTTCATAACTACAAGACCCTTCATTTTACAGTAATTAAGTCTTCAAATGTGAAAAAGCCTGCTGAATGATTTCTGTAATTTGAACTCTCTGTGTAAACGTGACCCATTATCGCTGTCTCAGGGCAATGTGGACGACCGGTGGTCCCACGACATGTACGAGGGGGGCGGCGCCGGACGAGGCGAGGTGCGCCGACGCAGCGGGCAGGACACCACCAAACTGATGATCTCCAATCTGGACTTTGGGGTCACCGACGCCGATGTCAAGGTAGGTGCCCCGTTGTACGAGTACGTATGAGGCAGGTTGTGTTGCCTGTTGTGACTTTAAATGCTTTGGTTGGTAGTTGATGGATGTCTGTGAGAGTGAGCAATGTGTATATTAGTGTTAATTTGTCAGTGGTCAGTGTGTCGTCAGAGATGTTTAATTTACTGTGTTTCCCTATAAACATTCGTTGCGGACTGACCTGTGTCCGTGTTCACTGCTCGCATCCTCATCCCTGTTGCGTGGTTCTGGTTCTCAGATTACACATTACCCCCATGCCCCTCTCGTCTTGTGCAGGCATTAGTGCACGACCACATGTGCGATTACCTATCTATGCTGTCTGATTACCGGGGAGAATGACAGCATACGTCTTTAACCATTAATCGACAAAATGCCAGTTTTTCTACCTTGCTCAGTCTTTTTCATTTTGGCTTTTGCACATTTTCACAATTACAAAGTCGCAATGTTATAACAATATCAATTTTCCAAACCCAAATCCACACATGACCAGTGCCACCTGCGGTCGTTTTGGCGACGTGTAACCACTCTCCCCCTGTCCTGCACAGGAGCTGTTCGGGGAGTTTGGACCGATGCGCTCGGCAGCGGTTCACTACGACCGGTCCGGCCGCTCCATGGGCACGGCACAGGTGGTGTTTGAGCGGCGCAGTGACGCCGTGCGCGCCATGAAACAGTACGGCGGCGTGCCTCTAGACGGTGAGTGTCGCGCGTGGGGGAGTAACGGGGTGCCGATGGAAGGTAAGACGTGTCGGTGCTTGTGGGCAACAGGCTGAGATATGTCAGTGTGAGGGTGAATCATAAAGTTGACGGCTGTTCTTGCAAGGTTCCCAGTGCTACTGAAGTGTTGAATCCCCACTGTGGCCACCGATCGTCATACACTTTTATTTCCATTTGATCATATAAACGCCCCTTTATCAGCGTGGCTGGATGTTGGCCATTGCGGTCCTGGCGCCGTTCGAAATCAATTATCGTCATCTTTTTGTCATCTCCTTTTATAAGGACCAGCTTTAGGGCATTTTCCGAACTCGAGCAATGGCAATACCCCTGCCCTTGAACTGGCGGTCGATTACTACCTTTAACTCCCTGAGTCCTGTGGCGCTCTATCACCATCTGACTGCCTCCTCTGACCCCTCCAGGCCGGCCGATGAAGCTGGAGCTCGCCACCGACCAGCTGGGCGGCGGCGGGGGCGGCGGCGGCATGGGCGGCCGGCTGGGCGCCAGTCCCCGCCAGCCTCGCGGTGGCGGCGGCGGTGGCGGTGGCCGGGGCCGGGGCCGCGGCAGCTCGCGCGGTAACCGTGGCGGCGGCACCGGCGGCCGGGGCGGCGGCCGGCAGCGCGAGAAGAAGAAGCCCGCCACCGCTGAGGAGCTGGACGCCGAGCTGGACGCCTACGTCAACTCGGCCAAATAGAAACGGCTAGGTGAGTGGCGGAAAGGGGAGCTGAAGTTTGCTGTGCAGTGTGCACATTGTACACTGCATATAATATCTGAGGACGCGCTCGGAAACTCATTGTTTCTACTGCCGTATGTGAGGGAAGGGGAGCGAGGAGGACGAGACTTAAGTCATCCCGAGACCCGTACTACGGAAGTAGTTATATGTGTAAATTGTACGTGGGATGGGACAATATAATTAACTCCTTTGGTGCGTTAAGCAATTCTTTTTCATGGGGAACCTTTTTCAAGGGTGGATGTATGTGGTAAAATCGTGTGATGTAAGTGTTTTGCATTGCATCTGCATTTGTTGCATTTGTTACATGATTTTGTTTAGATTTGTTGTTGCCATATTTCATGCTCAGACATTTTCCACCGCACTACAGTCGGAATCATGCATACAACGTTAAACTGTTACTGTGAAAACACCTGAAAGATACCGCCATCAAATCTGTTCAATATTTTGTCTTAGCTGACCCTAACCTCTGTTCGTGTCTCTATTTCAGGTCTAACCCGCCCGCTGATGACTCACCGGGTCTCCGAAAGGCGGCAGCACGATCGACCGCTCAGTTCGGTGTGTCGTCCACAGGTGTCGCTGCGTGTCCGTGTCGCGTGGGCGCTATTTTAACAGGAAATTCGCGCGCCATACATACGCGCCATTTCGCGGTGCCGATTCGGTGCCGATTGCGCGTTAAACGCGTTTCAGCGGCGTTTCGTGAGTGTTTCGCCAGTGTTTGTCATGCTTCACTCCGTGTCGTCGAGGTGGGTCCACGCGGAGAGCGTCGGCCTCTGCGCCGACCGCTCAGCGGATTCCGCAGTGGTGTGAGCGGTCGAGCGCGACAATACACAGGCCCTGGTGCCGCGACCCGACACAGGAGTTTCGAGGAGGGAAGGAAAGAAGCGGAAGAAGAGTGAGTCTGGACGGCCCGGCCGGCCGACGGTTCAGCGGACTCATCGCGTCGAGGATCAGTCATCGCCAAAGGTCATCGGTCATTCTGTCCCCCCACACAGCGTCACAAATACACCCATGGTCATCCAGGAGACTTGTGTTTGGAATGGTGGAAGTTAACTGCTGAGGCGTGGTTTCGTGGAGGGAGGGAGGGAGGGAGGGAGAGACAGACAGACAGACAGACAGAGAGAGAAGAGAGATGGTGTGAGTGACAAATCGGTGCACGCATAAGCGTTTGACTGTTAAGATTAAGGTGCAGGTACTTTACTATTCGAATCATGTCTTGAGTCTCAAGACCAGCCTTAGAGCGCACGAAGACCAATCACATTTTCTGGACATTGTATTACCCCAATAGGCCAGCAGCACACTCGAAATTTGAGCGTCAAATGAAAAGCATGAAAATACACCCTCCATTTTCAGCGGATAATATGCATTTAATACATAATGTGGAGCATTGTACCGCGCACTAGCTGGCGAACTCGAAAACCCAAGCTTCAGCTCCCGAATACGGTCCCCTCTTGTGGCGACATCTATCGGTAGATACACGACTAGATCTTAGAGTCCCACATCGCGTCGCTCGTATGGACAATCTCCATCCGTTCATCCCTCGTTCAGGTGACTGACAGATCCGAGAAAACAAGTCAAAAATGTCCACCAATCGCCATTCCCAAATATAATCTCACCTCATGGTCGCACTCATTCAGGCCATGTATTCCTATTTCCTACAGGTACCGTCCATGGAGACTTTATAACGCGGCCGGTTTCTTTAGATCTAACAGAAACAGATCATAGATAAGTTCTTACCCACACACCATTCGTTGTAGACGCGCATTTTTGCTATAAAACTTGTGATGCATCGCATACCGCACCTTTTCATCAGGCATCATCACAGTACAAGTAGCGGCAGGCCAGCACCCCTCGCCCTGCCACAAGGGTGACGGTTGTCGCCACTTCCTTCAGAGGTCGCTGATACCGCTCGCCGCTCACTCGCTCTTACAGCACCGTGCTGAGGTCCTGCGGATGCAGGTACCGTCCGCTGAAGCTGGTGCCCTCCTGTTCAATGACATCACTGTGCAGCCCGCCATCCTCGTGCCGTGGCGGCCACAGGAGCGGCGCGGCACTACCCACGGATAGTTTCGTCAGTGCTCCGCTGCCCGCGGCCGCGCTGCGCCGCGAGCGGGGCCGGGGGCGCGGTCGGACCGCCGCCGGTGCCTGGCTGAGGTGCCGGAGCCGGTCCAGGGGCCAGTCGCGGTAGGTGGGCCGAGGCTCGGCGGTGGCCGGTCTCAGACCAGACCCCGGCGCTGTGGCAGTGTCCACCCCGGCCCCCGAGGGCAGGGTCGAGTGCGCGCCTCCGGTGGGCGCTGCCGAGAGCGGCGCCGAGCCTGGCCGGCCCCAGACGGACCCCTGGCCGCCGTTCACCCGGTGGACGAACACAGCCGGCCGGGACAGACCTCCGGGCGCGCTGTCCGTGCGGCGTCGGCCCGGGGCGCGCCACCTCCGGCTGCCGGTCCGCCGCACACGACTCAGCGGCACCGCGCGGCTGGGCCGGCCCCGCGAGCGACGCGCGCCCGCCAGCGGCAGGCTGCTCGGGCCCGCCGGATCGGTGTCCTCCTCTTCGATGACCGTTTGAGTCAGGCTGAAGAAGGAGCCTGTGGCACTGGTGAGTGGCCGCCCGCCGGTAGCGGCGGAGGTAGGCCGTGGCCGGCGGGACGCGGGAGTCACCGACCGTGGCAGGTACTCCACGTGTGGCGGAGACGGTCCGCTGACCTGGGGAGGGGAAACTTGGTCAGATGCGCTGAGATTGACGCTTTGGTTGTGGGTACACGGCAACTAGTGAGCACACTAGGCAGTGGGCGACGATGCGGGTGGATGTCGGCGGCATGTTGTCATCTAATGAATGATGAATCATTAGAGACTACACCTAATGTGGAGATAATACAACTAATAAAAAAGACAGCAAGTAATGAGAAAGGTTCCTGAAACCCTACACATGAGAGTGCCCATTCCCAACACACTACACAAATACATCAGCGGTCTTGTAAAAAAAAAAAACTTTTAAGAACCAATCTAGTATCTACTTTTACTCTCAGTGACTACTCCAAGACACCGGCGCCGCTCCGCCGCGTCCAGCCCTCGCTCCCGCTCTGACCTTGCTGCTGGGCCTGGCGTGGCGGTGTTTCCTCAGCAGCCGCTCGGCCCAGTCCAGCAGCCGCTGCCAGTCAGCAGGCGGCTGGCGCAGCTGCTGCTCGCGGCTGGCCAGCAGTGCCAGCAGCCGTCTCAGGTCCTGCTGACTGGTGCGGCTGTCGGCGGAGGACGGCTGGCTGGTTCTGGAACACGGCGAGCGGTTAGGACTTAGGACAGACAGATAGAAACGGAACGACAGACGATCATAGGTACAAGAAAAGACGAACGGACATTGTGTTGAGAGAGAAATGCTACCACAATAGCGCCAGTCTTCCTCGATATTTTATCGTCCTATATGTTCAAAACAGCTCCCTCCCTTACAAGCAAGCAGCCAGTCGCCTTTGCCGACCTTCCGACTTCTATCTTTGTCTTTCCTTCTCCCTCCCTTTTCTCTCCCTTTCCTTCTCCTGTCCTTTCCTCCCTCAGTCTCACCTGAGTGTGTGTCGACTGCTGCGGCCGGTCCCCTCCTCAGTAGAGTAGCGACTGGGTGGCCGCGGATCCGACAGCAGGCTGAGAAAGGTGCCGATCTCTGGTCGCAGGGCGCGCACTCGGGTCACAAATTGTACCCGCTCCAGGTCCAGAGGGTCTGTGGGAGGTCACACGGTCACAAACTGTACCACTCCAGGTCACACGGTCACAAACTGTACCACTCCAGGTCTATAGGGCCTGTGGGAGATCAGGTCACACGGGTCACAAGTAGATTATATCATACGAGTCCCCTCCTCGTACTCGTACTCGTATGTGACTTATGTGGTGTGACAGGTACTTGCATGACGGTAAACACAAAGAGAAGACTGCAATTCTACACAGCAAGGTAGCAGCAAAATCTACGGAGACTGCAACGGCGCAGCAGACCAGACAGTAGCACAAGCTATCGGCGACTGCAGTTCCGCACAAGCCAGTAGCACCAAACTTCAATGACTGCAGCTAGGGATGTAAAAGTAACACCAACCTCAAATGTGTATCATTTGAGTACCTATCAATATATAAGAAGTAAATCATAAACATTTTGGGTACACTGTCGCTGATATATCTCCTTAACCCTCGCATGTGTAGGGGGGGGTCGGATGGACCCCCCCCCCATGGTTTTTCGCAAATAACTCGCGTAAAAAGCGGCCGATCGCGACGAAACTTTCAGTACCCTCGCATTGATCAATTTTACACCTACCCTGAAAATTTCATGACCCTGACCCAAATGACCTTTGACCTGTGACCTCTTTTCCGAGACCATGTTTGGCCGGAATCGCGATTTCGCGTATGTCGGCTCGCACTAGCCGCGCGTTTGCAAGCTTTTCGTGGTTTCAAACGTTCAAACATGTGATTTGATGTTACTCCCGTGGGTGTCAAGGTCACCTGAAGGTCAGGTCAGGTCATTGACCTTTGGTGACCTCGGGTGACCTCGGTTCACTTTTTCGAGTTTTACATGTTTCTAGGCTAGTTTTTTGAGCTGAATTCGAATTTAGCAACCATTTGAACATTTACGAAGTAGTTTTGGTGACTTCGTAACATGTTACGAAGCTGTCAGAGGTGGTTGACACGTACTACGAATACCCGTCACGACGCCTACTGGTTGACCTGACCTGACCTGACCCGACCTGGTCTAAATGCTTCAAGACATCATCTGTGATCAAAACTAACACGATATTCGTGATCAGCACCCCGAAAAACCCCTTAGCAGCCACACTTTACGACTTTCTAACAGGTCCCGATTTTCCCGACTTTGGGTCATTGACCTGACCTGGAAGGTCAACCAATGACCTAGGACCTTAAAATTGGGTATCATCGGCTTCCTCTCGTCACGGGCAACACGCTCGTTTTTTCCGCGAAGCTCTAGCTCGATCAGGGGCCAAACGGCAAGGGGGGGGTCCAACCGACCCCCCCCTACACATTAGAAGCTGGAAAACGCCGCACACATGCGAGGGTTAATACTCGTACTTACTTACCGTGTCTTCCACCAAATGCCCCTGTTCACCGTCCACTTCCCGCCCCGCCCCGTCCACTGGCCTGTCCCCCGTCCACTTTTTGTCCTTCCGTCCATCGTACTGTCTCCCGTCTACTTTCTGTCCCCCATCCACTGACCTGGCTCCCTGTGGTGTAGCCGCTCCCTGAGTGGGTCCATTTTCCGCCTCAGTCGGAGATACATGAAGGCGCCGATGGCCAGTCCGATACAGACGGCAGCCACGAGCAGAGCGGTCACCAGGGCGGCCAACTCGCCGGTGGTTAGATCCGCTGTGTCCAGAAAACGGTGCGCTGGGGAGAGCGGGGTGGGGGTTAGATGGAGAGAGAGGGGAGGTGGGTGTGGTGCTTGCAGAGGCGAGGCAGGGGTGAATTGAGATAGAGTAATGTGAACCTTGCAGGCTCATACTCAGACTGGCAGCCATGAACTATGGTCAGTTCACACCCATCATCAATAACATCGTTTGACTGCCATGACACTAAGAATTAAGTACGACTTATTTCTAGCGACATTTTAGAGTTCGTTTCGCTGCTCACTATCTTCACAATAGCCGATAAAAGTTGACGGTCATGTTTTCCCGTCTTTCTGCGCTTTCGGGACTCGGCGGGGCACAATGCAAGTTAATTAATCACGCAAATGACGGGAGAGTGCCACTTTCCCCGAGAGTCGTTTACCATCTCCAAGTGAGGTCTCTGACTGCGCCGCCCAGCCCGAGGACCTGCCCTCGGCTGACAGTCGCGCCCTGTGCGTGCCTCCCGGCGACTTTCTCTCCTTCTCTGGCGGACTCCGCCCCTCGTTAGGCACCCGCTGAGAGCTGGCAGACGCACAACAATCCACAGAGCCTGACTGACTGTATGGAGAGGACATTACGAGATCTATTCTTGCTTTATGCTTAGCACTTCGATGCTCCCAATGATAGGCCGTCGGATATATCATATTATCCACGTGACGAGTTGCGGCACTGGATGTACACTATACATAGTCAGCCTGTCTGTCCCAGTTTGAGACTACCTCAGTGTTTCATCACGTTCAGAAAGGGAAAATCTCCGACAGCCTCCTCTCTGGACCATGACCAATGTGGTCTCATACATAATGTATGACCGTTCCTGGGTACCACAACGGTGCCGCACTCTGCCGTCACGGCCCGAACAGCTCGACAAACAGAGACTGAGAAGAGTCACAACTCACACCGGCTTGCCGAGCGAACAGCGGGTTCGAAGTGTCACGGTCCAGTGCAGTGGGCTGAGGAGGTACGGACGGCGTAACCCTTCTCTAACAGGTGTGGGTTAACCCTCGCACGACCAGGCCATTTCTCATAACACGAACGACCAGGGGGGGGGGGGTTGTTACGACCCCCCCCCCCCCCCTGGCGTTTCGAAACGGAAGGTCGTAGAGCTTAGCGGAAAAAAACCAACGGATTGCTCTCAACGAGATCTCGCGATTGGTGGTATATTTTTTGGTCCTAGGTCAACATTTGACCTACTTATGACCGGTCAAAGGTCAAATTTTCCGAAAAAATCAAACTTTTTCAACTTTCCGCGGCGATTGCGGCAAAACGGTGGGAGATATCGACTTGAAACCTTCACTATCGTGTTCCTTGATCAATTTTCTATCGTTTGGTATGTATTTCGTTTCCCTAGCTCTAAAAATGGCGCGTTGGGAGCGCCGGAAGTCGGCAAGGTCACAGTCGGCGGCAGAAATTCGAAAAATCAAAATTTAAATTTTTGAAATCTGATTGTATTTATGGATTTGGGAGGTCCATTTGCTCCCTATAGAAGCTAATATTGCTGCATATTCCCATTGAGGTGACAAGAATTAGCAAAATAGTGGTTCGGGCGCTTTTCAAAAATAGTACCGGACGCTGTTCTTCTTGTGACGTCATAGCTCCGTGATCTGACCTGACCCGGTCAATTTTCTTGCACCACACGATAGCCAATGCTTGCCCCAACATGCATGGGAAGTTTCATCATGATCTATCAAACAATGTGGGTATCACCGGCAGAAAACCTAGGGATTCGGCGCACACGTTTGGTAACTGTCGGCCGAAGGCTGTACCTCTTATGACGTCATAACTCCGTGACCTGACATGACCCGATCAATTTTTTTTCAGCAAAAGATGCGCAAAGGTTGCCCCAGAGGGTATTGAAAAATTCAGCCCGCTACGACAAGCCGTTTAGCATGCACTTCGAAAAACCTCAGGGGGGGGGGGTTGATACAACCCCCCCCCTAGGCGTTCTAGGGTTAAGGACAATGTCGGCTCATGTTAAGGTCACCCCATTGGTTCTGGTCCTAATATGCTATAGACAGGCATCGTATTCGCTCTCTTCACACCTGACTTAGCCGTCGCTTATCTCCATTTCCGTTATCTTCACTTTGCTTCTTACTTAGCTTCACTTGTCTCCGCTGAATGCAAGCATGCTCTAGCACTGAGAAAAAATTGACTCCATATGGGTCAAAACTCTTGAAAATGCTCCCCTGAAAACTCCTGAAAACCATCGATAACACCCTTTCCAGCAGAGTTATTGAGTGTGTTCTAGGGTAACTTTGAGCCTTCCTCATTTTGCGAAAGAGTTTTCAAGAGTTCTCAATGGATGGCAAAATGACTCCATGTGTGACACCCCATAACTCTGTGACGCAACTCTCCATTACTCCCGAAAAACCTTTCCCGAACGTTCCGACAGGAGTAAAAGGGGAGTTACGAAGGGGTTTTAGCATACGTCGCGAGGCTGCCGTGGCCGCCATCTTTTGCGCGTAGTATACAGCACGTTGTGCCGGGCGGCGGGCGAGGTGTTAGTGAAGAGCGTGTTGACTTAGACGGACCTGACCTAGGTATACAGTGACGGATAATTGGACCTTACTTTGGATTTAAAGGTAAGCTTAGCTGTATTTCTCATCATGCTTTTATAGTGCAAAGTGTTATAATGCTGTGATGAGAACATATGGTAACCCCATGTTCTTGATGGGCTGGAATGGTCTGTGTAAGGGTAATCGATTTGTTTCGTTCCTGAGTGCGATAAAGATCGGAAACAGCATGCTCTGAGTTTCTACATATTGGCAAATATCATACATTTTTTCCCTCGAATAAATTGGAAAGTTAGGGTTATACAAGCTTTACACGTCATGGATCCTATTGTTATTGCCCAATTGTTTTAATACCCATGTCAATGACAAATATCAAATTTGAAGGGCTTTCAAAGCAGAGTCAGAAAATTAAACTATCTTGGCATAAAAGCCTTGATTTTCCTAGCCCCTATATATAAAAAATCAGTTACCTACCACTGCCACTGCCCAATGGGGAAAACCACCGACAAACCAGCATGTTTAAATAAATTTTGTCTAAATTGTATTTTTTTTAGAAAGTATCCATAAATGAAGTTCGTTCTTAATGTTAACATGGGTACGTATGCAGCGTGTAACGCGTCCTTAGCTTATTTTTAGCGACCTGCTCAACTTTTTGAGCGCTCAAGTACGTTTTATAGCATTTCCCTAATGTGTCTGCAACTAAGATGGAGGCTGTTGACTTGCCCTTTAGACTTTCACTGAAACTTAACTTTATCAAAATTGTAGTGCATAAAAAGTATGCTAACTTTGCAATCTCTTGCTTTCATTATTTTGACATCATGTGCGGAAATGCAGTATCAGTGCCAACATGTCAGGTCGCGTGTGTCTCGTCTCGTCCATCTTGTCTCATCTGCCTACCTCTCAGTCTCCTCCCTCATTTCTTCCTTCCATCTTTCCTCGCTTCCTTCCCAACTCCCTCCTTCCCCTCCCCTCTCTCTCCCTTTCTTTCTCCCTCTCTCCCTCCCTCCCTCCCTTCCTTCCTTCCTTCCTTCCTTCCTTCCTTCCTTCCCTCCCTCCTTCATTATTTCCCTCCTTCTCTTTTTTCTTTCTCCTCTATTTCCTCCCACGCAATGTTAAGTGTACCTATAATTTCATGGTGATTAACATTTTGCAGAGGATGAGCTGGAGAGCCTGCATCGCATCCCGCAAGACACGTCGGAAGCCAACGGAGGCCCGCAAAATATCCATCCCACCATCGTGAAAGGAGAGTCGGACGAAGAAGACGCAGTATTCGTCGAGGCCCAGGAGGTGGTAGCGGCACCACCAGACCAAGCATTCCTGCTGTGGTAGGCCGCCTTTTGGATTTTTAACATCAAAACTCGCGACCGTGTAGCATAGGTATGGAGTGAGATCCCCGGAGAGCGTGCCGCGGCGGGATGTCAAAAGCGTTTGTCAATTTTTGAAGCCTCCCACCGCCCCGGACTATGAATACACATTACTTGAAATATATTTTTTATCTGTGCTTCGGTACACGAGCTTTGGGTGGTTACGCTATTCGTCCAATATTTATTTTCGAGGGGGGGGGGGGGGGCTGGAGCGGAGTGATGGGAAGTTTGGGTGAGTTTGATGGGGAGTAACTATAGAGGTATACCATGAAGCTGTAAACGGAATTTTGGGGAATAATGGAATGGAGTAATTGGGAGTAATTATGAGGCAGTAAGAGAGTCATTGAGAGTAATGGAAGGGAGTTTCAGGGAGTATGTTGTTTGTTTTGATAGGGTAAAGGAGAGAAATGAAGAGTTTTCTAGAACAGTAGGGAGAGTTGCAGAGAGTTTCTCGAGGGAAGTTTTGGGGTGTAATGGAGAGTTTTGGAGGGGGTGTAATGAGGAGTACCACCTGGGAGTTTTAGGGTGTCGTTTTGGTGAACTCCCCCTGGGGGTGTCATGCGGAGTCAGGATTTTTCTCAGTGAGCGTCCTCCACCCAAACGGAACCTCTGCCGCGTCCATAACGCGTACAGAGACCTCTCCTCACAGCCGCAGCGTCTTATGCCCGCGGCGCTCGTAACTCAGACGCAGTAAGAATACGACCTCACTACCCGCTAATGAACCAACGGACCACGCTATACGCCGGCTCGGCCAGTGCGTTCCCTCACCCTCGTAACAGCGTACCGCCGGCATTCTCGTATGATTAGACTCAGTGGCGGCAGCGGGGGACGGTCTAATTTTGCCGGGCACATCCCGAATTAGCGCTCAGCGGGCCACCGGTCAGCGCCCTGGTAATGGAAGGTCGGATGCCGAGGGCCCGCGGCTGGTAATTCGGTAGGCCAGCTGGTAACTGACGGGTAATTACGGATGTACGGACTGGTAACGCTGGAGCTGGGGGTATTTTGGGGAGAGTTGGCGACGGATAGAGTATAAAGGAGAGAGAGAGAGAGAGAGAGAGAGAGAGAGAGAGAGAGAGAGAGAGAGGAAAGAGAGAGAGAGAGAGGAGAGAGAGAGAGAGAGAGGAGAGAGAGAGAGAGAGAGAGAGAGAGAGAGAGAGAGAGAGAGAGAGAGAGGAGAGAGAGAGAGAGAAATTGGCGTACGGAGCGTTACGGAGCTGCATACTATTGCGCGCTTACTCCTAAACATATCAAGTTTTACAACTCTTACAGGCAACGTTGGCTACGACGACATACATGTCTCACGTACGACTTCAGCAAAAAAGCATTAATCGCCGAGCATATAGCTCGCAAAATAAAACATCTGATTATATAGATCAAATATACCCAATAACCACACCATGGAATGCGTGAAGTATCCAGTCACCGCTCAAACAGAAGCAGATCCCCATGACTTCGTCTACCAAACGAGCTATCCGGTGAGACTGTGCCATCAGTTAACCAGCAACCCGATCGTCTATCTTTTCTCCCCGTTTGTTTTCATTCGTGACTCTCCTTCCCATCGCTCTATGTGCAGTAGCGACTGCGGAGGTCGGCAGCGGCCGTTCACCTCCCAGAAGCCAGCGCTCGCTGCAGAGACGGCCGGTAGTCTCTGAGGTTCCCGCCTGCACCGTGGGCGGTCGTGTTGGACCATGTCAAACACGACCTCTTACACGCTGGAGTACAGGGGAGGGAGGGGTGGGAGGGTGGGTGTCAGGAAGGGTTGTAGAAATCTCCCAGGTGGTGGAAGTTACGCAGGTATGTGACCGGAATGTGTAGCAGTTCAGCGCCCGGTGTGGAGTCGGGTAGACCGTGCCTGAGACAGATACATGAAATGAATCGTGCTAACATATTTCCCTTCAGAAATACCGACATTGTGGCATGTGCTGACAAAATGTAGTGAGCCTAAGCCGTCACTACGCTGCAAAATATGCAAAAATAACACCACGGATTAGAAGCGCTAGTACCACGCGACTTAAGTGCTAATCCGTTCCGAAAACAGAAGTCACAGCTTCCAGCAAAAAAATGCATTGAGAATGGGCCGCTACATGGCATCACGCAAACATGGTCAACTTGAACATAATTACATGTACTCCTCGATCTAGCAGTTGTATCATATTGAGACAGACACCATCTATTCGTGCCGATCAAATCAGCGTCGGTAAACGGAACGAGAAAGAATACGCAAGAGACTTCAATGTAACACAGAATAGTAGCACCAGCCCTTCGGAGACTGCAGCAAATCACATAACAATAGCCTCATTATTTATTGGAGGCTCACAGCTCACATTATTGAGCATTTAAGTAATTCACCGGTACCCTGCAAAGTTTATCTAGTAACAAATATTACTCCAAGTTATCTTTCACGGTCTTACCTCCACCTACAAACAACTAGGAATTATTGGAACAGTCCATACTTCAGCAGGACAGTTTCTGTCCCTGGTATAGTGGTATAACCAGTGACGTATCTCACCTCTGCAGAGCAGACCCTGGTACCCAGTGACGTCACTATGCACCAGCCGGTAGTTGCCCGGGCAGCTGGTGACACACTGGCGCGTGCCGTGGACGATGGCTCGGGTACAGCGCGTGCAGTGCCCGAGCTCGTCGCAGTCGATACAGCCTGGCTGGTCACAGCCCGTCACCGCCACTGTCGGCAGAGGGGGTGACGGGGTCAGCGAGGGGTCAAAGGGTTAGCTGGAGAGGTCATACCTACTCATATGCACAGCCAGAGAGGTTGGTCAGTGCAGGCCAGATCGGTACATCATTTAAATATTGGTTGAAGTAACTCAAGTCCCAAGGAATCAAAGCATCGTGACTTGAATAAAATAAACTGTGATAAAAGTTTAAGATGAAGGAATTTCCCAGAATGGTTACAAACAAATTGGTAACAGTTCACCCGAGCAAGACGGCTCGACACTTGACCAAGGGCAGGGATTAGCTCGAACGAGAGGCATTTGTTATGCAACTCCTAAAATGCAAAACAAACGTAAAACTCTTAGGTGCTCCAGCTCTCCTCTCTCTCTCTCTCTCTCTCTCTCTCTCTCTCTCTCTCTCTCTCTCTCTCTCTCTCTCTCTCTCTCTCTCTCTCTCTCTCTCTCTCTCTCTCTCTCTCTCTCTCTCTCTTTCTCTCTCTCTCTCTCTCTCTCTCTCTCTCTTTCTCTCTCTCTCTTTCTCTCTCTCTCTCTCTCTCTCTCTCTGTCTCTCTCTCTCTTTCTTTCTTTCTCTCTCTCTCTCTCTCTCTCTCTCTCTCTCTCTCTCTCTCTCTCTCTCTCTCTCTCTCTCTCTCTCTCTCTCTCTCTCTCTCTCTCCTTCGCTTCCCACGGTTTAACGTAGACCACCTGTCTGACAATAGCCGGCTACCCACCGCCTCACAGATAGGTAATCAGACTCTCAACGTGCCCCTTTCTCCAGCACAGCGTGTCATCGGGATCAACAACGGCGCATGCACGCAGCATACAGTGTCAGATGTCATAAGCGATTGGGTGTTAGCTCATAGACAGTAGAGAAATGAGAGTGGCGAACAAAATTAAGCTCGATGGAAAGTAACGAGAAGTAAAGTAACGAGACAAGAGAAGTAACGGTAACATGTTATAAAGTCAACATGTTGCTGACCAGAAACTAAGAGGCTGATCCACTAATGTTAACTGATAACTACTGTCAACTAACTAAGTAGTGTCCTGACATTGAGCAGCCCAACGGCTACCGATTCAGCGGCGAGCTACTGAAAATAACGCCACTGTGCGGTCGTACCTACACAGCCGACATTCAGCCCGCTACCGAGCGAGTTCCATGAATGAACGCGGCCTGTGCAACCGATGGTTATCGCCGACCACATTCCTGCAGCCACGGTCACGGACGGAATCGCGGTGTGTAGGCACAATGGAGTGAATTAGTTGGAAATTTCGGATGCACTCATTTGTTTACGAGTCACGAACACGATAAACTGGTTTTCTTATAAAAATGTACATTGAACAGAAGTAAGCGTATCGTAGATAGCACACCCTTCAAAACTGAAGTTGGAATGGATAAGTTGATGGCTTCTGTCGGGTGCCTGTTAGATCGTGTGTTTTTTTTACATTACGTCTGTCATCTGATTGTCCCACCCTGCAATCAATCGCGCAACTCATTCACTGTTATGATTCTGTGCCATTATAAACCAGTATAACGCCTTTTGGGGCGACTAACGGAGCGAGCGAGAGGGTGAGCCTTGCACGTGCGAAATTTCGAGGGGGTACCTCCAGCTGACTTGTGCACGGCACCCTACTAACCGGTCTCTAGCGATGTGCCAAATTTGAGCACAATCGGCCCAGCCGTTCTCGAGATCTGGAATCGGCACCCTGCACGTGCGCACGTGCAAAATGGGTCCCAACTGACTTTTGCATGGCACCCTACTAACCGGTCCCTAACCATGTGCCAAATTTGAGCGCCATCGGTCCAGCCGTTCTCGAGATTTGGAGATATGCATTGCCTAGTGGGTGCCTACCTACATGCCAACTTTCAGCGCAATCCGCCAAGTAGTTACCGAGATATTGCAACAATTACAAAAGTGACACCTCTTCGTTTTGCACGTGGCAAGTGCATAAGGGGTCACCCACATGCATCGGCAATAGTCCAATACTTGGTAGAAGGAATGAAGCTACCCTACAAAAATTACCGCGTGTAAATCGGTCAAGTGGTTGCTGAGATATAAGCCTCGCAAAAGCGTGACCACGGCCGGCCGGCCGGCCGGCCGCTCATACTCAGAAATTTCCGTTAAAGGGACCCTCCCACCTTCAAAAAAGTTAATGAATTGGCATGAAAGTGACGTCGCTCGGTTCAGAAAGAGCGAAAACGAATATCTACCAAATTTCATCGAAAAATATTCACTGGTTTTCAAGATATTTGACTTTTACGATTGTTTACTTTTTGGGATCTCCGCTGTTCCTAGCGACTTTATTTGAAAGTGCGGCATTTGTTGCGCGCAAAGCAGCATATACCACCGCGTGCTACAAAACGTTTTAGTCAAACATTTAAAAATCGTTAGATATCTGCGCTGACGTCACACATTCAGAGGGGTATTCCTAAGCATTAGCCCCTCTGAATCAAAATGCTGCAATTTTGAAATTCAATATTTCCGATTTAAGGCATTTCTCGATGTTGTGAGTGCCGAAACCGGTAATTGTGAGCCAGGGACCCCATTTTGGCTATCTCAACTCAAATCTAATGTTAAGGTGGGAGGGTCCCTTTAATCTAAGGAAAGACTACGCTCGCTTCGCTCGCTCCGTAACCATTAAACTTCAATAAAAAATTGTCAGTCCTCGATCACAGACAGCACTTCATCGTCGATTGAGAACTTCCCTCGAACCGAATCGGACCAAAAATTGGAACAAACGACTTGCAGCTCCCAGCGTCGAGCCAAGTGTCAAGTATGACATCGTATTCGAAAAAAAATCACGACGACATTGCAGGTCGGTAAACAAAAAAGATCCATAAGAAACATGCTGATTTTGGTCTTGCTCATACCAGGATTTGACCACCATGGATACGATATGAATCATCCCCAATTATGAAATGAAAAGACCAGCTGACTGACTATCGGTCACCACCCTGAAATCCTTAGCTGGCTAACGAAGTGCAATCGTTAAAGGTGGAGTGATGAGAAGAGCAGCGGCGACACGGCACTCTTTGTCTAACCGACAGGTGTGCCGTCTCACTGACTTTTTTACCCCTCCCCCTCTTCCCAGCTTCACAGCACTGCTCTACGGAGGTCGAATGTCCCGCAGCGGGGTAAGACAGGGCAGCGGGCAGTTCAACCAACACTGTTCCTTCCTTTTCCTCAGTCTCGCTTCTTTCCAGGGACAGAGTGCTCCCGGGCGGGGTGGGGTGATCGGAGGTACATTTCTCTCTCTCTCTCTCTCTCTCTCTCTCTCTCTCTCTCTCTCTCTCTCTCTCTCTCTCTCTCTCTCTCTCTCTCTCTCTCTCTCTATCTCTCTCTCTCTCTTTCATTCCCCTCCAGCCACTTTGGAGAGTGCGAGTCCCAGGGCGTGGCGCGAGGTGGTCCGTTCCTTCCCTGTAGTTGTGTTTTCTCCTCTGATGGCGTCCTATTGTTGGTCAGCCCAGACAGCCCCTCCCTGGCTTCAGGCCCTTCTCCAGAGAGAAGCGAGTGTCTCTTTGGTGGCACCGAAACCGACGAGCTTTCAGTGTGCAGACATGGAGCGGTCAATGTCCCAGAATACGCCGGTGGGAAGTTCACATGGACACAAACCGTATGAAATATGTGGAACGTAAATGTTCTCAGCATGGAAAGTTTCTATAACAAAGTTTCTGGTGATAGCCAGTTTCTCTTTAACATGAAACTGGCTATCACCAGCCATTACTTTATAATATTTATCACAGTATAAGGCTGTAATAGTGGCAGTAAAATCCAAGCCACCTTTATTCTTGTATGACTCTTCTTACCCAGGCTACAGAGATATCAATGGAAAGGGAAAACAGCCAGACAGGCAGAGCAGGCAAACAATCAGGGAGACATACAAGCAGATATAGTTAGACAGACGGCGATGAGAAATCGGTTCATCCTGTACCTACGTACACTACCACAATTCCTGAGGACATTGTGAGAAATCTGCCTTGTGCCTCACCGAGTGCCCGTACGCCGTGTCTCACCGTGTCTCTCAATGTGCCTCACTTCCCACGGGCACGGGGCGGTGAACTGTGGAGGCATACACCTCCGGTCACGTCGTCCTGGCTCTCCAAGCCACGGGCCATCGAGGGAAGTTCCCAGGGAATGAGAGCGATGTGCTGCGACTATGAGAGCCGACAGGCGTGGCCATTAGGTAAGCCATTATAATGTAAGTGCTAAGTAGTAAGTGGTGCTCCTAAGTCCTATGCAACATTTTAAATTATTTCCATAAAGGGATTGGATAACAAATTTCGTTGCTATACACCATCTATAAATGCTGCAACAATAAACAATTTTACGAGCTATTTCTAAACATCCGCAATCCTAGGGCAACAAATAGGTAGGCGTCATTGCTTTTAAGGAAAGATGACTTGCTTACTGGAAAAGTGTAAAACGGTTGCTATTGTTCTCAGCATTATAGAATTCGATGGCTCAGTGCTTTCAAGGCTAAAGGTGTTTGTTAGGATCCCCAAGGGAAAAGTGGCATAGGGGAGAGCGGGGTCAAATGTAACACGGGGCAATTGTAACAGTGTTAATAATTCATAAACTTAACAATAGAATGAACTGATGTTCAGACCGAAAATGCGTAATTCTATACTGCCTTTCTCAACGGAGTTTGAAGCGAAAGTGCCGGGTATGTCGATGACTGTGCACAGTAATGTGTTTTTGAGAGAATTTTGTAAATTTTTATACCGTTATATTTGATTAGCTCATTCCTGCATTTGAAAAGATATCGACTTCAGACTTTGTGTAAGCGTTGGCAGGCTTGTTGTCCATAAATTGAAGGCATTAAATGCTGTACATGCAACATCTTTTTGCGCCAGTTTCGTCTAAAATATGTCAAGGCGCGACGGGGACAATTGTAACATTTTTGCAGGGGTCAAATGTAACAGGTTATAGGTCAGGGGCCATTATGTCGAAGTCGTTAAATTTTCAAGGAAGACGAAACATTGCTAGAATTACGAGAACTGTAAGTTTTGTCGCAA